AGGAGAAGGGATTGCGGTGTGGCCATCCCCTCTGGGGAGTGATCTCTCGCTTTCTGTCTCTCTGTCTTTCTGGCGAGCGCACATGCCCTATAGCAAAACCTCTTTAAAAAAAAAACTTTAAAAAAAAAAGAATAAATAGCCTCCAGATACTCAAAGAAGGAACTGTTTGTACAGGTTCATAAATGAGAAGTGAACTAGGTTCTCTCATAACCTTCCTCTGACACTTAAATTTCAAAACCCAGGGTTACTGATTTTTAGCTAACTAAAAAGTTTGGTAGGACCAGCAGGTACCATAATGGTTACATTGTTACCACACAGCTTACTGTAGTTCATGTCTTGGACCTGGCAGCTTAAAACTCATGCCAGAAGCAAAAAAAGGTATTTCTCTCTCTCAATAAATAAGTGAAGGGACCAGCAGTTAGCGTAATGGTTTTGTCACTGGACTCCCATGTAGTCAACCACGGTTCGAGTCCCAGACTTGGTGGCTTAAACTCATGCCAAGCACATGTGTCTTTGTGGCCAAAATCCCAGGAGGAGAAAGACAATGTGCATATGTGGCCAAAATCCTAGGAGGAGAGTATTGTGGTGTGGCCATCTCCCCTGATGGGTGATTTCTTGCTTTCTGTCTCTCTGTCTCTCCAGTGAGCTTGCACATCCTATAGCAAAAATCTTAAAAAAAAAAAAAAAAAAAAGTTTGGTTCATTTATTGAATGAAGGATATTTATCATCTCTAAGTGTAGTGCTAGAAAGACCTTGGTGTTTCGGTGAGAGGGAGAGTAGGGGGATGGAGTTTCTGTTTTATAAGACTTGTTTTATTTATTTTTGTTTATTTATTGTTACTATTTTTTATTTGCTATAGGCCATATGCAGTCGCTGTAGAAATACAGAATGAAAAAGTGAGAAAGCACCCCCTGGGGAGATGGTCACACTGGTGGTTAAGGGTGCTGGACTCCTACATGGCCGGCCGCAGTTCAAGTCCTGAACCTGGCGACTTGCTTTCTCACTTTCCCTCTCTCTCTCACTCTCATTCTGTCCCTCTCTGGTCAAATTAAAATAAATAAAGTTAAATAAAAGAATTACTTAAAACAAAACAAAACTCCTGGCTTAAATAAAAGTAGTACTACAAGTTGAGTGATCTAAGGTCCCATATAAATTTGCTATTGGGTGTGTGCACTCGCTAAAGAGGGAGATAGGGAGGAATCACCCCCAGGGGGTGTGACCATAGGGTAATCCCTTCTCCTCCAGTCTCCTCTCAGGATTTTGAGCACATGCCTATATGTGTCCAGTGTGTTTTTCAAGCCACCATGTCCAGGACTTAAACTGTGCAGTTGGTCATGTGGGGTCCAGCCACCTTAACCACTACACCACTTTGCTGGTCCAGATACATCTTATGACAGCTTGAGTGAGATATAGTTTGCTTACCATAAAATTGACACTTAGAGTATATATAATTTATTTGGTATATTATTGATATATATACTCTAACAGAATATATATAATTCAGTGTTGTATAACCATATCATTGTGTAATTCTAAAATATTTTCTTCCCCCAGAAAGAAATCTCTTACTTGTTAGCAGTTGTTCCTCATTTTTCCTTCCTTTCAGCCTCTGTTTTCTAGTCGGTAGGCTTACCTATTCTGCATACTTTATATGGTAAATGACTTTTTTCAGGCATTTTTCACTTAGGATTCAAGGTTCATCCATGTTATAGTATTTTTCCTTTTTATGACCAAATAGTATTCCATTATATGGATAATGCCACAGTTAGTGGGGCAAACGTTTTTTTTCTTTTAAAATTTGCCCTACTATGTGTACTCACTAGAGAGAAAGAGAAAGTGAAAAAGCACCCTTCAAGTGGAATGGCCATGCCAGTCATTTCTTCTCCAGTTAGATTTTGGGTATGTCTGTACATACGCCTGGCGTGATTTTTCCAAACTTCTGGGTCTGGGTCTCAAACCAAGCAGTCAGCCTTGGGGTATCCATCCACCTTAGCCACATCATGGGCTAGTACAGACGTGCTTTTGCTGAACTCTACTACTTGAGTGATAAGGAATTTAAAGCTACTGAGTGTGAAAATAAAGTGATAGTATGTGCAATATGGATCGAATAGAACAGCAAATACTGATAGAGTATCAGCTAATTAAACATTATATTAAACTTTTACCTCATTTTCCCAAAAGAACGCAAAATGTGAAGTTGTAGCCACTTTTATTCTTCTTTGAGGTCTAAAACACATTCTGTGATATTTTTGCTTTTGGAAAGATTAGCTATTTTGTTTTTGTGTGATCCATTTACCCATTTTAAAGGATTTATAGAATCTATTTTATATAAATTATTTCATTGTTCTAGGACAATGGGTTTAATCCTTACGTCATACTTAGTAAATTTTCTTTTCAAAGTTTGAAATAAGTCACCATCTTTTTCATAGAAATAGAATGTCTTTCTGTTTAAATGACATTATTAAATTACATTATGAAAATGCCAAACTGTTAGAAGGCAGAATTTTATTTTCTTCATATTTTGAGGCTTGTTATTCATGAATGCATGAAAGCACCAAACATTTACTTTGAAGATTGGCACATAAAACTGTATTTATTTGAATATGACTATCTAAATAAATCACCAGGATCATCTAAATATTGTTTTTAATTACTGTCCAGACACTAGTCTTGATTAAGAACTAAAGCTGTTTTCTGAAGCATTTAGGATGTTTTCAAAACAGATCCATGGTTATTTTTTTGTCATGGGAGAACATTTAGAAATAAGTAATAAATGGTCTTTTTTAGTAATTTCATGAGGAAAATATATTTGATTATGGACATTAATATGAATACTAAGAGATGATAGAATCTTTGATTCTGAAAGATACAATGAAGAATATAAAAATCTCAGTAATGTGGCATGAAGTTGACCTTTTTCTACTGTTAGATGAGAAGAATTCTCTTCGTGATTGGTACGAGAATTTAAAGTAATAAAGTGCATTGTTGGTGAGCGTTCTGCTCCTCACTGCATGCTGCTCTCTCCCGTTAGAAGGAATAGGTGGAAATCTTTGTTAGAGCTTCAGTAAATCAAATGATATTCATATGAAATATGGAAGGATACTGTTTTGTAGGTTTGCAAGATGTCTAGCATGAAGTTATTCCTTTTCTGACTAGGTGCATAGTGGTAGAGTTTTTAATTCACTATGTAGAAAGAAATGAACACTTATCAGAGCAGAAGGAAATGTGTGGTTAAACGGTTTCAGCTATAACTGTAGACTATTTCCCTTGGTCCAAATGGGAGGAGAAATGGAACTTCACATTTTAGGGTTTTTTTCCAATATAAGTAGAAATTGGTTCAACGTAGTTTATTAAAGCCCTTAGCAAAAATAGTTGTGATTAGTAGGAGAAGGGGAAGGACATATGTACTTGGAAGGCATAAATCCTATAGGCTTCATTTTATAAGTGTATCAAGAATAATTTTTCTAGCGTCATTGACAGTCACTTATTGTTATTACTTTTTTTTTTTTCTTGAGAGGTTTTTGCTATAGGCCACATGCACGCGCCAGAAAGACAGACAGAGACAGAAAGCGAGAAATCGCCTCCCAGGGGGGATGGCCATGCCACAATCCCTTCTCCTCCATTATCCTCTCGGGATCTTGGGCACGCACGCATACGCGCCCGGCGTGAGTTCAAGCCACCAGATTCGGGACTTGAACCGCAGTCGACTACGTGGGAGTCCAGCAACATAGCCATTACGCTAACTGCTGATCCCCTTATTAAATTTCTAAAAGCAGGACTAGCAGGTGGCATAACAGTTACATCGCTGGACTCCCATGTGGTCGACCACAGTTTGAGTCCCGGTCCCAGTAGCTTTGAACTCACAGTGGGTGCATGTGTACATGTACCCAAAATCCCAAGAGGAGAATAGAGAAGGGATTGTGGTGTGGTCATCTCCCCCCCACCCCGGGGGTGATTTTTTTTTTTTTGCCTCCTGTCTCTATCTCTTCAGCAAGTATACACTCTATAGCAAAATTTTCCCTAAAAATAAATAAATAAAAATTTTTGGAGAGTTTATTGTTAGTTTGTTTTGGCTATAGGGTGCGTACACTCACCAGAAAGACAGACAGAATGTAAGAAATCGCCCCCTTGGGGGGATGGCCACGCCACAATCCCTTCTCCATTCTCCTCTTGGGATCTTGGGCATGCACATACACGTGCCTGGTATGAGTTTAAGCCACTGGTTCTGGGACTAGAACTATAGTCAACTACATGGGAGTCCAGTAACATAACTATTATGCCATCTGTTGGTCCCATAAATACATTTCTTAAAACAAGACATATCTGAGACTCTTTGTTGAAGAAATTGTTGAAATGAGCAAAGAAAAAAAAATGATGGGAGTCAGCAGGTGACATGGTTGTTAAGGCACTGGGCTTCCACATGACTGACTGCAGTTCAAGTCCCAGACCTGGCAGCTTGCTTTCTTGCTTTCCCTCTCTTGCTCTCTCTCTCTGGTGAGTGTGTGTGCCCTGTAGCAAATTAAAAGAAAAAAAAAAAAGAAAGAAGATTAAATACATAATTACTTTAAACAAAAAAAATTAAGATGTTTGGGGTTTTTTTTTTAAGTTTTTTTTTTTTTTTTTTTTTTTTTTTTTAGTTTTAGTTTTTGCTAAAGGGCACGTGTGCTCACTGGAGAGACAGAGAGAGAGAAAGTGAGAAATCACCCTCCGGGTGAATGGCTACTGTGCCACAATCCCTTCTCCTCCATCTCTCTTCTTGGGATTTTGGGCATGCATACACACATGGCTGGTGTGTTTTTCAAGCTACCAAGTTCAGGACTCAAACTGCTAAGTTGGCCCTGTGGAATCTAGCCATTCTAACCACCACACCACTGACTGGCCTCAAATTATACTTTTTTAAAGAAGAAAACTATAGGATCTGCATAAGTAAGTTTAATCCTTTGATTTTTATGTGTCTGCTGATTTTCCAATGGTCTTCATCCTTCTTTTCTGTGTTTTAGGTATATTTGAAGGCTCCCATGATTCTGAATGGAGTCTGTGTTATCTGGAAAGGCTGGATTGATCTCCAGAGACTGGATGGTATGGGCTGCCTGGAGTTTGATGAGGAGCGAGCCCAGGTAGGGTGACTTTAGGCTTTTGTTAGTGTGGTCATTTTATTTAGCCTTGAATCTCACCTTTGTCTGGGGCCTGTTTTTACCTAGACTTTTAAAAAGGTAAGTATATAGGGACCAGTAAATGGCATAGTGGTTACATCGCTGGACTTCCACATGGCTGACTGCAGTTTGAGTTCTGGACCCAGTAGCTTGAAACTCAGGCCAGGCATGTGTGCATGTGTACCCAAAATCCTGAGAGGAGAATGGAGAAGGGATTGCGGTATGGCCAACTCCCCTGGCAGGTGATCCTTTGCTTTCTGTCTCTCTAGTGAGCACACGCACTCTAAAGCAGAAATCTCTCTCAAAAAAAAAGTCACAAAAAGGTAAGTATAGAAAGTATTATATTTGAGTAATATTAAACAGTCCTGGAGAGGTTAAGACCTAAATGTTGGTCCTGAAAGTTTTTCCTTCTCAGCCATACTGACCCAGAAGCAGCCTTCAGAAAGCAAGACTTTCTTGGGACCAGCAGTTGGCATAATGGCTGTCGCTAGACTCCCATCTAGTCAACCGCGGTTTGAGTCCCGGACAGAGTGGCTTAAACTCAAGCCAGGTGCATGTGCGTGCATGCCCAAGATCCCGAGAGGAGATTGGAGAAGAAGGGATTGTGGTGTGGCCATCCCCCCGGGGGGTTATTTCTTGCTTTCTGTCTCTCTGTCTTTCTGGTGAGTGCACACTCCCTGTAGCAAAAAAACTCTCAAAAAAAAAGGGGGGGGGGGAGAAAGACTTTCTCTTCTTGGATTACTCCACCTGCTCAGTGGGTCTTTGAAGTCCAGTAAATGATTCTTTTTACTACTTGTTCTTTATCTTCATAATATTTTGAGGGGAAAACGAACAGTTCAAGATAAAATTTAGGAGCAGCATTTTTAGAATGCTTGAGCAAAGAGCATAGCAGACTGTTTGCCAAAAAAGTAATAAAACTGGAAAAAATTATTAAAAAAAAAAGTAATGTCTTTGGAAATTAACCAGAGGGCATACATTAAAAGGCATTTATTCAAGCAAAACTACTGAATTTTACTAAATCAGGGTCTGTCTGTAGTATTTTAGTCTAAGCTGTTTCTACCTCTTCTCCAGCTTTGTGAACCTTTAAGTTCTGCCCTGGGCAGACCAGGCAAGCCATAAGGGCTGATAGCTCTGCTATTCTTATTTAAAGCAGAGCTTAGAAAAAATAATCTATACCCAAGGATGTTGTCAAAAAACAATAGAGGTCTCATTGGCAAATAATCTGGCAAAGATAGTGTGGCAGGGAACAACAGAATGGAAAGCCCACCAGAAACATATCGAGGAGATCCATGGAAAGAAAGTGAGTCCTGGGACCAGCAGTTAGCGCGTAATGGCTATGTCGCTGGACTCCATGTAGTCGACCGCGGTTCGCTTCCCGGACCCAGTGGCTTGAAACTCATGCTGGGTGTGTGTGCGTGCATGCCCAAGATCCCGAGAGGAGAATGGAGGAGAAGGGATTGTATTTCTCACTTTCTCTCTGTCTCTCTCTGTCTGTCTGGCGAGCGCACACACCCTATAGCCCAAAAAACCTCTCCAAAAATAAAAACCAACAACATTGATTCCTCACTTTAAATAAACACCCATGATAAAAAAATAAAAAGAGAGAAAGTGAGTCCTATTAAGTTCACATTCATGTGGTCCAAAAAACTCTGTATATGTACAAGACTACACGAACTTCAAAGAGAACACAAAGGGCCCTTGCAAGCCACTAGTTTCTGGTTGAACACTTAGGTAGACTGATAAGCTTACTGAACTTTGATAGCATTCCCCTAGCCACATGTGGATTAATTGGCAGAGAACGGAAGTCTACCGGCTCAAGATATTTAAGCAGAATCTAAAAACTTGAGCAGTTACATGAGAGGCTTCACACTGCTGGGGAAAATAGAGTCTACAGAATTAGTCCAAGTCACTAAGTAGCAACATGAAGGGTCAGGCCCCATCGCCTAGTGGTTAAGAGAACTGGATCTCACATGACTAATTATGGTTAGATTCAGGGCCTTGATAGCTTGGGGAAAATGTACCAGGCATGGGTGCGTGTGTGCCACAAATTCTAACAGGATGGAGAAATGGAGAAGGGATTGCAGCGTGACCCATGTGGGGGTGTGTTCTCCTTCCCTCTGTGTCTTTCTCTGGCAAGTGCCCACACTTTTTAGCAATTAATGCATATATACTCTTAACAAATTAAGTGCTAAATGGAGGATACATAGGATTCCATCAAAAAAAATTTTGTGTAAATATTTAAGCTGAAGTATTTTTACAGGTATTATCTTTTTGCTTTTGTCCAAAGTATCTTTCTTTGATAGGTTTCATGAAAGACCAAATATATCAAATAAATTGTCTCTTTCTATGAATCTTCTAAATATTTTGCCAAATTGTTGCTTCAGAATTACAGCTTTCTCAATACCAATTAATTCCAATGAAAAATAGTTCCATCAGGGCCAGCAGGTGGTGTGGTAGTTAAGGTGCTGAGCTCCCACATGGCTGACCACAGTTTGAGTCCCCAGCCTAGAGGCTTAGATTTTTTTCTAGGCTTTATTGTCTGATATTAAAGATTTTTGTCCTGTCTTGAGCTGTTGATAGGTTCATGTACCTACTATTTGAACAGAATCCTAACCTGTTCCTGGCTTTAAGTTTTAAGCAAAGTTCTTTAGCATTTTTTTGATTTATTAAAGTTGAAACTGCTTTTCTTGGAAAAAAAAATTATACCAGTTGTAGGTTTGTGCATGCCCAAAATCCCAGGAGGAGAATGGAGAAGGGATTGCGGTGTAACCATCACTCTGGGAGGTGATTTCTCTCTGTCTTTCTCTGGCGAGTGCATGCACCCTATGTCAAAAACCTACAAAAAAAAAAAGTCAATATTAAGAGACCAGCCACAGTGGAACATGCTGCTAAAACACTGCTCCAAAGACTAGAACCACATGTGGGGCCAGTTTAAGTTTTGCTCCAACCTAAAAGTCAGGTACAGTGGCATGTGCCTATAATCCCTTCAGTTGAGGGAGGCCGAGGTAAGATTTTGAGCTCAAGGCTGGCTAAGGTAGCATAGTGAGACCCTGTTTACAAAAGCCTGGTGGGGTAGTGTGTGCCTAGTCTCAGCTGGGAAGCTGAGGCAAAAGCATCAGCACATGAGCAGACTCTGCCTTAAAAATAAATCAATTGAATTAAATTAAAAGCAGTAGCAGCATCGGCATCAGTATTAAGAGTGTATGAAGGCATCCTAAACAGCAGGGGAATGTATTTTCTAGCAAAGGTCTTCAGTGGAATATGAATCGAGTATTTCTTATCTGAAATACATGGAAACAAGTTGTGAATTGCAGATTTTGGAATTTTTTCATACTGTAATGAGATTTTGAGCATAAGACCTACGTCTACACAAAAGATTCATTTATGGTTCACATACACCTTATACACTTAAAAAAACAAAAAAACACACAATTAATAAACCAGAAATAGAAGAGAACTCCCTCAACTTGAAAAAGGATATCTATGAAAACCCATAAGTATGATTTTTTATATTACATTTTGTTCAATCAAAATACCTAAAATATTGTTATTTAAACAAGGTCAGTGTTAAAATTTATTAGACATTTTATCATTTTTTATAATAAGTATTTGAAATCCAGTGTGTATTTTCCATTTCTGCACATCTCAGCTCAGGCTAGCCATATTTCAGGTGTGTAGTAGTCACATGTGGCTCGTGGCTACCATATTGGATTGCACACCTTAAGATACTTGTACTTTTTTCTTTTTCTTTTTAGAGAGAGATTTATGATATAGGATGCATGCACTCACCAAAGAGACAGAGAGGCAGAAAGAGAGAAATCACCCCCTGGGGTGCTACACTGCAGTCCCTTCTCCATTCTCTTGGGATTTTGAGCACACACACATATGCCCAGCATGAGTTTTAAGCCATCAGGTCCGGGACTTGAAATAAGGTCGATTACGTGGGAGTCCAGCAACGTAACCATTAAACCATCTGCTGGTCCTGTGATACATGTACTTTTTTTTAAAAAAAGAATTAATTAGTTTTACTTATTTTTATTTTTAAAATTTTGCTATAGAGCACACATGCTCACTAGAGAGAGAGAGAGAAAGCAAGCAGTTAGGTCCAGGATTCAGATCACAGTCAACCCCCAAGTGGGAGTTCAACACCTTACCATCATGCCACTTGCTGGTCCCAAGATATGCGTAACTTTTTTTATATGTGTAGTTCAATAAAATGTTTTAAAAGTTTTCACCAAAATGAAGATAATTTTAGGAACCGACAGGTGCTGTGGTGGTTAAGGGCCCTGAACTCCCACATGGCCGACCTGGTTCAAGTCCTGGACCTGGCAGCTTGCTTTCTCATTTTCTCTCTCTCTTTCACACTCTGTCTTTCTCTGGTCAAATTAAAAATAAATAAGTAAAGTTAAATGATTCTTTAGAAAATGAAGATAATTTTAAAATATACAATTATAGAAACTCAAATTTAAGTTGTTTTTACTAATTTTATTTTTATCTTTTTTTTTTTTTTTCAATTGACAGAGGCACAGGTATTTACCAGAGACAAAAAAAATGAGAAGCAGAGAGAGAACATACTTCTTAATGGACGTGGTCATGCTGCAGTCCCTTCTCTTTCTCCATCCTAGTGGGATTTGGGACATACATGGGAATTGCCACTGGAGCCTAGATTTGAAGCTTGGTTAGCCATGTGTCGGATCCAGTACCCTTAATAACTAGACCATTGGGCTGGCCCTATTTTCTTTTTAAATTGTTATTTAATGTGAAGGCATAAATTTCAAATTTTATTTTTATTTTTAAAAATTTGTTATAGAGGGTGTACGTACTCACTGGAAAGAAACAGGCAGGAGAGGCTAGCCACACTGCAATCCCTTCTCCATTCTCTTCAGATCTTGGATATGCACACACATGTACCTTGTATACCATACCTGACATGGTATACAAGCCACCAGGTCCTGGGGCTCAGA